GTTTTTGGGACGGAGGGAGTATAAAGGTAGAAGAGTGTTTACTGTCGCCTTGCCTCACAAACCAAATCCAACACTTGCACTCCCAATACTGTTATAATTTTCCTATAAATTATGCTTTTAAATACAAAATATATTTTGATAATAGTATTTTCTGGATAGGCCAAATATGTTTTTTTTTGTCTTAGGCAATTGTGGAGGCATAATGCCCGTTAGTGGAGGCATAATGCCATGCTGTCAGCCTGTCACCAGAAACAATGCTTTATCAAAAGAGGCATGGGCTATACCGCTATAGGCAACAGCTGATAAGAAAGATAATTTCATTCTTTGATCTCGCATCTCTTCCTCTAGCATAGTCTTGGACCCGGTTCGGCCCGCCCGGCCTGTGGACCGGCCCGGCCCGCTACTGTGCGGTACCGGAACCGGCCCGGTTCTCGGGTCCGGGTCCGTTTCAGTGCCCGAACCGGTGAGGGCGGGTGGGGGGGGGGGGGTCCGGGCTCGGGGCTTGATTTTGGCGACCCGGCCCGGCCGGGTCGGGTCCGGGTCCGGGTCCAGGCCTAACAGCTAAATTTAAAAAAAAATCCATTTTTTTTGTAAAAAGCCTTTTGGTTGTTGACCCACTTCCCAAACGGCTATATAGCCGTTGGGTGGGTACCAAGGGGGTCCGGGGCTTCTGGGGGGTGGGGGTGGGGGGTTAAAAAAAACCTACAAATACTCCTAATTTTAAACATTTTTTCACACCTCTTCTCCAACTCTTTCTAAATCCTACTCTCTACTCATCTCCATATACTATAAACAATATATTATATATTAGTTACACTTTAATTAATATCACTTAAAATCATTCTATTACTCATTTACTCCCATTAATTACTATACACCATTCATACATTTGTCTTATTACTTACATTTTGTATTAACATTACTTGATTAGTTAATTAGTATTCCCACTAATTGTTACATTTTTCATTATACTAGTTAATTAGTTAATTAGTATTTTTGTTACATTTTTCATTATACTAGTTAATTAGTTAATTAGTATTCACATTCATTGTTACATTTTTCATTATACTAGTTAATTAGTATTCCCACTAATTGTTACATTTTTCATTATACTAGTTAATTAGTTAATTAGTATTCTTTTACATCTACTTCCTTACTAATAAAGTAAAACCTTCTAATTGAAATTGAATTTTCAATTAGTTGCTATTGAGTCCAATTAGTGAATTACTCATTAATTGAGTCCAACTAATAAAGTCATTAATTGTAATTAAGTCCTAAATTCATAGTATTTACTCATTTGATTACTATTGAGTCCAAATAGTGAATATTCATTATATTAATTGCAATTAAGTCCTAAATTCATAGTATTTATATATATTACGGAGGAGAAAAGTTCACCCCCGGAATTCCGGAGTAGAACCGCCGTCTACATGATTTTTTTAGCATGTTCTTCATGAGGTTTAGATTATGTTCACAAAATTTCATCTTAAAATTCGATTAATAAGTCAGTTAAATACATTATTGAAAAGTATTGCATTTTATATATAAATATTTTGACGTAGTTTTTTCAATAATTTTTTTAATTGACGTCCCGATCGAATTAGTTTTCCTGATAGGATACCCAATTAAAACAATAGTTTCTGTTGAAAAATATTCGATGAAAATGTCTGTGTATTTTAAACATAAGATATAACGATGAAAAACTAATTGATATAAATTTCTCATTTATTTTAAAATTTTACATTTTTTCTTTCAAAAATGTCTAATACATTAATGAATAAAATATAACCAAAGTAGGATGTGCGATTAGTGTAAAAATCAACATGTTTAGTATATATATATTGAGTTTGTGTCATTTTATTCCAACAAATGGAATCACAAGAGCACGTTGAGGTCTTAAAATTTGTAGAAAATGCACAGTGCAAGTAATTATTATTAGTCATATATATTGTTAAATAAACTCCATCTATACGTCTTCTAAAGCTAATTCCAACTCATCTTTTAATTTCCTATTCCCATAAATATTGTCGCATTACCTACAATATTCATCAAGGAAGTGTGAAGACAAAATTGTTGCATGCCGCCTCTTTGAATATGGGATGAAGTTGTGCTGATATACGAGGCATGTTCTAAGGTTTTAGACGTTACGCCAACAAACATCATGAGTAACTAACTACTTGCTATCGTTGATCGATGGCCTAGGAGTTACATATATTAGTTCAATTAATATTATTCCTTCACACACCGATACTACTTTCCATGTTGATATGCACAATGTCGAATATGATCTTAATAGCGCTTCAATGGTTGGATTGGCCAACCAAGTCCTTCATTTGAAAATCGGAGCCCCGATAATGTTATCGGGGAATACCGAGTATTAATCATGCATAAGTTTTATTCAATAGAATGTAATTGGTCATAACCAATGAAAAACAAGTATGACAAGTCATAATTTGAAAAGTTACCAAAGATAAAATTTATTTATTAAAAATCTCATTGTCACCATATGACAACTTTATTCAATTTCGAATAAAGCAATTTCTTGTGATGGTAAGCTTTGCAATGATAATCAATAAAAGTCAAGGCTAAATTTTGCCAAAAAAAAAGGTCTCACATAAAATATGATTTATACCTTGAAAGAGAAGTTTCATTAATGATCAATTGTACATTGTAATACGATACGAAGAGTAATGCGTAAATATATCTTAAGATATTCATATGTTCAAAAGAAACAAATTTCTTCACTAAGACGATGATTGAATGTCGTTTATAAAGAGGTTTCCCAATTTAAACCTAATAATGCGACGTTTGGATACAATGTAATGTGCAGTGTTACATTACAATGTCAATTTTTAATATATTCTGTTTAGATAAATTACTATTCACAATCAACAAAAATTTATTTGAAGTAAAACAATTAATTATTTTTATATTCTATAAAATATACTCCGTATATTTTATAAAGTATTCAAACATTCACAACTTTTGCTAGGGGCAACGCCCGGGTAAAAACTAGTTTTTCATTATACTAGTTAATTAGTATTCCCATTAATTGTTACATTTTTCATTACACTAGTTAATTAGTTAATTAGTATTCCCATTAATTGCTAAAACAACTCAACTTTAAAAAACTAGTTAATTGTCATTATAGTTAAAGTCACATTATAATAGTTTGAATTTATATTTGAACGAAAAAATAGTAGTTCAATCATTTAATTAAAGTACTTAACATTGTATTAAAGTAGTTCTCACTAAATTAAAGTACTTGAAAAGTTGCTATAATTTAATTACTCACATTTTAGTTAAAGTCACACTTGTTAGTTTTAAGTATTTATTAAAAAATACTATTGATTAGTTCGAATTTTAATTTGTATTTTAGAGTCATAATTTAATTCACTACTTAATTAAAGTACTTCACATTTTATTAAAGTAGTTTTCACTAAATTAGTTTGAAGTTTTAATTTAAATAGTTTTAATTAGTTGCATTACTTTTGTATTCATTAGTATATTTGTTGCAAATTAATATTTGTTACATTTTTAAGATGGAAGGTGGTAGATATTCAGTTGATTTGGGTAACCTCGAGCGCAACCGAAGGAACGAGATTGGGAGGAAGAAATCCCGCAAAGGTAAAGAACTTGCCGACTCTTCATCTCAAAGCCGAGATGATTTTGAAACGGGTTACCAAAGGAAGGATGGAGATGCGATGTCCGAAGAACAACTACAACAAGAATTGGCCCGACATAATAACCGCTTTCTCCAACAACAAATCCCGACGACCATTGACGAAGATGAACTTGAGGATGAAGATGCGGAGGAAATGGAACTGGGGATGGCCGAGGAGGAGGGTGGCGGCAGCCACGACGCCGACGAGCCTGCCTCATCCCAAACCGCCACCGGTAATAAAAAAAGTAAATCTGAACTAATGAAAAATAATTTTGATAAGTGGAAGGACGCACAAACCGGGTATTGGCACGCAACTTGCAAGTGGTGCAACAAAAATTATAGCTTGGGGACCTCCGGCGGATACGGATCCGCCGCAAGGCATCTTAAGGCGAAGCACCCCGTGGAGTATGCAAAATTAGGCGGCGGAACGAGGAAGCAAACTCAAATATCGAGGTTTGCGAATTCTCAACCTTTTGGTAATTTTTCATAAAATGATGCACAAAATTTGACTGGTATGGCTAACTTAATTTGTGAAGAAAAATTGCCTTATATGTTTTCTGAAAGTCTTGCTTTAAGAGATTATGCATGCGGTACTTTAAATCCTCAATTTAGAGGTTATAGTCGCAAAACTGTTAAGAAAGAAATTATAAGGCTTTATAAAGCGGAAAAGGCAAGGTTACAATTTTTTTTTGCAAACTTTGATGGACGTGTTACTATTTGTTCTGACATATGGGAGGATAATTTTCATCATTTAAATTATTTGGGTCTGACTGCACATTATATTGATGAGGATTGGAATATGCATAAACATGTTCTTGCTTTTCGTGAATTTAATGATCGTCACACCGCTGAACATATTTATATTTTGATTGAGCGTATTTTAATTGAGTATAATTTGATTGATAAGGTGTTTGCTATTGGTTTCGATAATGCTACTAATAATATTGCTGCTATACCTAGATTGCGTGAATTGTGTGGTGCCAATACTTTGATTGGTAGATTTTTTCATCAACGCTGTGCATGCCATATTATAAATTTATGTGTGCAAGACAGTCTAAAAGCGTTAGGAGATGCTATGGAGGTAGTCAAGGGGGGTAGACGTATTTGGGGTAATGGTCAACTTAGATTAAAATGGCAAACTTATTTGACTGAAAGAGGTGTGAGATATGTTGTTTTTCCTAAAGATTTGAGTATTCGTTGGAATAGTACTTATAAATTAAAGTTGTTCTTAGATTTAAAGAACAGTTTCCTGCTTTTTTAAAACAACATGATAACTATATTATAAACTCGGCTGAGATCGACACTTGCGACAAATAACAATGCCAGTGAATGATGGTTGCTGGAAGAATGCACAACCTATGTCATCCAATCCAATAACAATCTAGTAGGAGAGTTAAACAGCTACAACCAAAACTGGTCCATGATTACAAAAGTGGTTATTAGATCAAAATAGACAAAGCTACAACAATATACATACCAATATACCATCTATCAGCTTTACAACGAATTAGCACTTGATAACTACACCATCTCAAACCTCTGTTCAAGACAGGTTCCTATCTAAGTCAACATATCTCAAGGTAACACTTCATGTAAAAAAAGACAAAAAACATCATTCATCATCATCAGAACTTGAACTATCTACCAACTGCCTTTCACTAATTGCGGCGGAATGAAGTTTTTTATGAAGATCAGGAGACGGGTAGGGTTCTGAAGGAGCAACAACATGCTTTGTATATTTATTATTTGTTTTAATATGTGTAGCCCTCACCTCTATGCACACTTTGTCAAGTATTACCAAAAAATCGCGAACTATGACAAATAAGCGCAAACCTTCATCCTTCCCTGCATTTCCATGGAAGTAATCGCCTGTGCTCTTCACTAGAGACATGATATGCTTCTCTTGTTCAAGTAACTCTCTCACTTCTCCCTCGGCACTCTGCATAAAATTCTCTAGTGTCTCAAGGAACCCATCTTGCTCTTCATCCACACTCTTCATTTCTGAGCTTAGAAATTTTTTGGCATTCAATACTGCATGGCCAAGCTTAGCAACTGTTCCCGTTAAGTTATCCGCATCTATGAGAGCAGCTCTCTTGACATACTCAAGCTCACTACCCAGACCTGACACGACCTCTAGACCGAGGCTTAGAATATACTCTTCTGAATCTTGTGGAGATTCAAGTAAGAGATCATCAGACTTGATGCTGGACATGCTCCTTAGCTCCCTGGATGCACGGGCAGCCCGTAAACCTTCCAAACGGATTATCTCTCTAACCACAAAGTGCAAAAGGGTTGTCTTCCCATCTTTGCCTTTCACATCAGATAGTTTTAAAAGTGTGTCCAATTTGAATGCTTGTGCACCACCACGGTATGTTCCAGAATTCATGCGATTGCCAGTTTTTAGGACAGCCTCCAGGAGTTTGAGGAACAGCCTGCTTTTCCGTAGCTTTGTGCAAGCAGCCTGGATAAGCATGAGACAAACACCTAATATATTTTCATGACATGAATTGAACTACTTTTCGGTGCACAATTGACACCACCAAGATCAGAGACTTGTTGATAGGGACATTAAAGAATGATAATAGCCTTCATGTGAATCGACTTGTATGTACTGGAAAGAAAGATAATGAGCCTGGCATCATGCTATGGTTTTTTAAAAAATGATGAAAGACAAATGGTGAATATTTGACAGAAGACATTTGCACCGAAAAGTCAAGGCAGTGCAATCCAGAAAGAAATAGATGAAGGCCCTCAAAGACTCCAGAAATATCATGTACAGAGTAAATCACAAGTATGAGTGCCTACCATAGAACCATCAATCTATCATTTCAGTAGGGTTATCATGGATATCTGAAAGTCAATTCTTAAAACAGATAACAAGTCTGATTGGAGAAAGAAAAGAGTACACAAATGGTGTCACCAAAATTGTGTTTTTAGTTAGTAGAAGCTTAAACTTTTTTGAACTACATAAGTTTCTGTTTTTTTCTTCCAGTGGATAATGTATATTGGGTAGGGCACCGGTATTGGATTTACTATTTTGAGATCTAATAAGCTCAGAATCTATGAAGTACGGAAACTTTTCGGGGCTCACGTTTCCCCGTTTCAGAAACTCAAATGCGTGTTGGAAAACATGTGAAAATAATATGTGCATATATATAAATGAAAAACATGTTTACATCATCATCATCATCATCATCACCCCAGTGCCGCAAAGGCTCTCACCTTCGGTGGGGTAGGGGGGGTCGGATATATGCAGTCTTACCATGTACTAAAGCACAAAGAGACTGTTTCCGGATCACCCATAGTGAAAATTGCATCGAAAATTGCATGTACTAACTGCTGCTTCATAACAAGGAAGCGTAAATAGTTTAATGAGCCATTTTTCTTTATTCAATCATATTCTCAAGCCAAAAAATAGTGAGTTTGTGGTTCTATTGCAAATGATGGAAAGCATGTTCACATATATGAAAAAAATATATATAGATATATCCTTTTATTTTTTAATACTTACACGTTTCCCCCACCCTTACCCCACCGTAGGTAATGATAATGATGAATGACACGTTTCCCCCACATTCTATATCCTATATTTTTTAGTAATCACATTTCTCGCGTTTCCCGTTTCCCATTTCCATGCTACTTAGCTCAGAATATATGTTTTCGGGAGAACTTTTACATAGGAATGTTTTCCTTAGAAGTAGACATCATGATATTTTGGATAATGATTTTTTAATTTTTTATTTGTTGATTATTTTACTAACATGGTTGTATAGGGATTGCAATGCGTAAATGTAACGTAAAGGAAGAAAGTACGAAAACCGCCCTACATAGAGTAAAAACAATGTGAAATTCCAAAATGAGTGTTATGTTTATTCCCATAATATGAGTAATTACTGTCATGTTTGGTAAATAGTGCCATGCAAGTATGACAATAATATTATCATATTAAGTCCTGTTAATGTCAAAATATGACAGTATGATTTCATCATGACAATAATTTACTTACTCATATTCGGGAGGAAAGCATAGCACTCATATTTTGGAATTTCACATTGTTCTTACTGCTATTTGGGAAATTTCTCAAGAAAGAATGACAAAACTATAGATTCCCAACACGCAAGTCCAATGTGGAAATTAAGAATGGAGGAGGTCTCCAAGTCCTTCATAAGGCAATCACGAAATCAATGCCTACCTCTAACGTTGCAAATGACTCTTTAACCATTGATGCATCCTCCGGAAGAGTGCACATAAAATGTAATGTTTCAAGCCTCTTATATGCAAATGGAATGTCCACTAAGACTTTCAAAAAACGCTCCGCAAACCCAAGTTGTAAAGGGTCACCATTATAGAGCCTCAGCTTCAACTCTTCATCAGCAGTTGGGGCCATCTTCAGCAGAGTTTGAAGTAGTTCTGCTGGAAGCTCATTTCCTGGTTCAACAAAATAAAAGGTTACGATTCAGAAACATCTTTAATACAGTGAAGTCAGCAACAAAGACATGCATAAACTTCCACTTCCAAAAAAACACAAAAATGAAACACTATAATTCAAATAGACTATCACATGATTTTCAGTGCATTATAGGAATCACCTTCTTTAAGAGCGTCGCAAACTTCTTCTGTGGTCACATTTAATGCTTTTAAGAGAATTGATAGGTTTTGTGCCTTCTTGTGATCAATAATTTGAATATATTGAATTGAAGCATCTGAAGGGTCTCTCTTTGTTCCATTCTTATTTTTATCTTGAGCAGCATAACCAAATAAGGTCTCTATCATCTCTTCGTTGAACCTATAACCAAAAAAAGACACACACACATGCTGTGCATTGAGTACATTAGTACAATCAATGACTTTACCAACATATACAAAGTAAATTAAAACCATAAAGCGGACTCACTGGAAAGATCCGGATTTTATCTGATGCCAAACCATTGAATTATCAGGATTGGCCAGAACCTTATCCCAGAAGAAAGGCTTCAGCTTAGTTTTAGGACCATCATCTTCATAACTTGGACCAAGAGGTGCCCGAGGTGGCCTCACGCCCATTAGAGGGGCAGGGACTGAGGCACGTGGAGGCGGAACACCAGCACCTGGAGGTGGTGGGGGGCAAGGACCAATCTTGCCACCTGAACGTATACCCGGTGGTGGAGGTGGCCCGGGTGGTGGTGGACGCCCTCCACTAGACGATGGAATTACTGGAGGAGGAGGAGGTGCAGCTTTAGGTGGAGGGGGAGGTGGAGGGGGAGGTGGAGGGGTTGGTGCTGCAGGAGCAGTCATAGCAGGATGGGATGGCAGAACTACCCTACCAGGCGGTGGCTTTAAGGGAGGCAGTCCAGTGTTTCCTGTCTTTCCAGATTCTACCAGAACAAAATTATCCATCACGGTGGCAGGATAGGAACCAGGTCCCACTGGGATATTCTTTCTAGAGTTATTGAGTGTACGTGACTCCATGAAAAGATTACAGTCCATTTTATCATGAAAGCTGTTGTCAAATGAACTTTTTTTGTTACTTAATGAGTTGTCCGAAGAAAACGACTTCTGTGAGGAGACTGAAACATTGAAGGAAGAGAAAGATCAGTACGAAGCATAAATCGTCCATAATGAACAAGGAATTAGTCAGAAATGAAATATTAAAATTTAAATTTACCGCCAGAATAGTCACTTAAGCTTAAGCTCAGAAGAGGCCTCTTATCAGTCTGCCCATTTCCAGATCCACTCTTGCATATCTTAACACAACATATAAACAGCAAGGCAACCATAACAAATGTCACTGCAGCAGGCACAGCAACCGAGACAGAACTTGATTTTTTTCTTTTGCCAGTTTTATTCTTTGATGATGCTCTTAAAGTTGAGTTCGAACTTGCTTTAGAACGTTTGACAACAGCAGTGTCACTAAGTTTTCGTGGAATGAAAGGCTGCACTGAAAGAATTTCATGAGACTGTTCTTCTTCATAGCTATGAATTACATATTGTCGTTTAGGAGCACAATGTCTCGCATACAAGAAGTCCAAACACCTGTTGTACCAAGTTCTTGGAACACTTTTGCCACAGCGGACAAGAAACATGAGATTTTTCTTCCTTAAACAATCCAGAAGGGGTTGTTTAGCCAATGGGTGCAAGATATTTTCAAATTCTTGCGTTTGTGGTTTCATAGATGGCCTGCCATGAGAAACTGCTTCCGTGTTCCCTGTAGACTTATCCACTTGAGCATTAAATTCATAATTTTCTGCTACTTCCTTGGCATGGATCAACTCTATCCTACAGTTTAACCATATTAACTCAGCCTGCAGCAAAACACATTCATTAAATAATTGATGCATTTCATTTGTTCCACTTCCTTTCAAACAAGTCAACCCCGAAACGAGTGCACAACTTATGAAGCAAAATTGAAATAAATACTCCCTTCTCTATATGTTTTTTCCTCCTTTTACCATCTTCAAAAGTTCTTCCTCTTTCCATTTTTACTAAAAAAATTATTAATCTTTTCTTCTATTTCCTAATTTATGCCCCTTTCTCACTCTTTCCAAGTTCTCCCCAATGTTTGGCATTTCCAAGTTCTCCCCAATGTTTTCCCTTTTATTTTAAAAAGGTGACAACAACAAAACACAATTGGCATTTCCATGAGATATTTTTTACTATCAGATAATCAAGTACTTTCTAAATTCAAAAACGGATATGGGGGCAATCAAATAAACATGATTGGATTGGGATATGGTAAACATCAATAAAGCTATTATATGGTTGAGGCTCTAAACACTAGAGGAAACACTTCTATGTGAGCCCAAAAGGAGAGAGGCAGGGCATGCTGGTTTTGCTCGTCATGCTGAAGTGTTGTCATTTATCAAGTCACCAGACTAGCTATGTTTTCCCAAATCAGGCCAAAGTATAATCCCAATTCTTCTTGTAGAAACTAGAAACACAGGTTAATGTTACAAACTGCTCACACATCATAGAGGCTAAACTGCTAAATTAAGAGTTCCTCCATGATGAGCCCATAAATCCTAATAGATGGTATCCTACTCCTGTCCATTTCCTTTTCTCCTTTTCCTTTTCTCTCTCTTGTCTCTCTGTCTTTTTCTCTATTCTACTCAGCTGCCTACCCCACCCACTCTATTCTCCCCTCTCTCCCTTTCTCATCCAATGATCATCTTCAGTCCTGAAGAGGATTCCTTACCAAATAGATGCCTATCATAGTTTCATAAGAGTTGGCCTCTGAAAAACAAAAAGGGAAAACTACGGAAAAGGTACCTGTGGTAGGACCCATTTTCAAATAGGGTTTTGTGTTTCATTTCTTAACAAAGTAAGTCATGTGTTTCAATTCTATTATCACACCAGGGGCCTAGCGCTAACGCCGTCAGAAATCACCGGAGGAAGAAGATGAACAGTAACTTTGATTTAAAAAATGTCCAAAAAATTATAAGAAAAATATTGGGAGGTGCGTCTCGTCAAGGAGACATCCAAACCATCTTCCTCTTTGGATTTTTCGGATCTGTTTGGATTATTTTTTAAAAAGAATTCTCTTATATTACTTTTCCGGCAACAAGGGTGATTGGAAAAAAACATGTCCTGGAGGTTGCCTTGATGAGGTGCACCTTCCAATAGCCATGTAACAAAAGAATAAAGCAATAACATCAAAGAACATGTTGCTCAGTTGAGCAGTTGAGCACCATCCTCGTTTATTGGCTTCTTGGGTTGGATGAGAGTATGACTTTGAAGAGAGTGAAGTGGAGGCGGCATATTCGGGTGGAGGATTAAATTCTTTTTATTTTTTCTATCTTTATTTACATTTTTATCTTTCTTATGTTTATCTTTTTATCTTTTTTATCGTTACCTTTTTATTTTTACCTCTTATCCTCTTTACCTTTCTTTTTATCTTATCTTATCTTTTAATCTTTTTTATATTTGTTACCTTTTTTAGCTTTGATTTCATTAGTCGTTCATGTCAACTACAACTGATAACCTGTTTATCAGAGCTATAGAAAGTAAAAGCCACGAAAGTGCATGATATGCTGCAAAACTCAAGTTATTGTGGAGGTTTGTAGGGGGCAAGGTGGATCATTATGAGTTGGGGCTGAAAAACAAAAGTGTAACCGTGCCTATATCATCGTAAACTTAAATTTCGGTTTCGTAAAAATGACAAATGGCTAGAAAATGGATAAGCAGCTTCTAGAATTGATAATCTGATTACAAATGCTGCTTAATGTGATCAATCAGCAACAAGAAAACATGCAATTATTCTCCAATTCAATAGCAACAAAAACAACATCCAAGCCTTAGTCACAAAAGATTTATAAACATAGAAGATATTCAACAATAACTAGAGCATGCATACTGAAGACCCAAGTACAAGTACTACCTGGTCATGATTTATCCCTCCATATTTGACTAGAGTGGCCAGTAAATCCTCTTCTGCATGCTTCATGTTCGTCTTGCTTGTTGCCCCCATACCGAAACATAGAAGTACAGGAACCATACACAGAACAACTGTTTTGATATGCATTTGCTCTTGAATATGAAAACTGAAATCCACTCAAAACATTCATTACCATTACAGAAATGACTCCAAAACCTGAAAAGCATCCTCCTTGCTTAGGAGAGGGGACAAATATCAAGCCTTTGAAGCAAGAATCACATATATTACATATATGATTGCACACCACTCAGAAATAACTGAATTAATCACTTCTGTAATTCTAAGTAATCCACACGTAGAGTTCATCAACGGCAGAGCCCGGCCATTATTATGTAATAATAAAAAATCATGAAATGCACTGCTAAACTTGAAATGTGGCACACAAAAACGAGAAAAACTCCCAACGAATTGGACCCTGCTGAACTCGTCAAAGCACAAAGGCAAGAACAAAAAATTACCAATCTACATTCCATCGATCAAGGTTTTGTGCATGGCCAGATCGAGAAAAAGAACCCTCCTTAAGCAAGAAGTTCGAAATTAAATGCGGAACATATTGGGGTGTCCGGGGAGGGTTGTGTCTGGCCGCTGAGCTGATTGGGAAATTATATGAAAATAGAAAATGAGTTTTCTCTTCAGGCGAGGTCCCATATGAATTTCTGATCACCATTTGCCGGTTTTTTATGCCGGTAAACTTATGCGAGTTTTTCTTTTGTATCACCTCAAATCTCTACGGTTACATAAATTGGGTCGTTAATTATATACGAAGTACTACGTAGTACGTACATCCCTATCCCTATGAATGTGAAGCTATGTAAGATGCCTCATGTATTTTTTTTGGAAGATGCCACATGTGTGGGTGTATACATATAGAGCACTCCTATCATAGTACTCCCTCCGTCCCTTAATACTTTGCCAAGTTTGACCGGCACGAGGATTAATAAAGTAAAAACTGTGTGGTTGAGGTTTGTGCAGAGGAGAGAGAATTAACTTGAACCACAAATTCTTTACTTAAAAGGGAAAGTGGCAAAGTTAGTGGGACATCCAAAAAAGGAAAGTTGGCAAAGTAATAAGGGACGGAGGGAGTATCATATACTCCCTCCGTCTCGGAAACAAGTTCCCACTTTCTTTATTTGGATGTCCCAAAATAAACTTCACATTTCCTTATTTGGCAAATTAATCTACATCAGAACAGTTAAACAATGCCAAACAATGTCAAACAGTGTCGAAATAGTGTCAAAACAGTAAAAATTACCCCTCTGTAACTTTATTTCCTTAAAATGTGTGAAAGTCAACCCGGGAACTTGTTTCCGGGATGGAGGTAGTATATATGAGAAATGATCCTATTCAGTCGGATGGATATGAACCTTCGTCCCGCCGTCGCCGTTTGGGGTTGTTTCTAGTGAAACTTTTTGATGATTTTTTTTGAGCATTTTCATCATCAAGTCTAGTTTATCCATACCAAATTTTAGATTAAAATTCAACAAAGAAAGCAGTCAAATAATTATTTGATAATAACTGCGCCAAAATAAACATATAAAACGCATTTATTTTCATAAATTTATATGACCGCCTTCTCGATTGATTTTAAGCTGAAATTTGATGTAGATAAATGAGACTTGATGAAGAACATGTTCAAAAAAATTTATCAAAAAATTCCATCAGGGACCGCCCCAAATGGCGGTGGCCGAGCGGAGCATCCTGTCCGGAAGGATGCAAAGGATCTTTCATGTGTGTGTGTATACCTATATATATGGTGCGGTTCTGGTGAGAAAGGACACTAGAAAATAACACCCAATCAGCCACGGATTTTTTGAGACGGAAAAAACGGTCGCAAATCAACGACGAATTCAGCGCCCACTTAGCGACCGTACCGTCACTGAACCGTCGCAAAAACGGTCGCAAAATTAAGATTTTGTTTCCGTAGCTGAACCGTCGCATCATGATCTGTTCTTCAAATTCCGTCATTATTCCGTTGCTTTCATCTTCTTCTCCACAACGATCTTCTGTATATAGATTGCATACAAGCACTCAAAGAAAAAAAATCCCGAAGTCTAGAAAAATGTTCAGTACAGATAGAAGTTGGATGTATGAGAGATGCGATCCATTTACAAAAAATGTATATGATAGATTTATCAGTGGTGTAAAGAGTTTTGTTGAATTTGCTAGAGTTCAACATGAGTTTATGAGTGAAGAAGACATTCGTTGTCCATGTCGAAAATGTAAAAATCGGCGTTTCTATGACACAGAAACTGTCAAACTTCATCTGTTTCGACATGGATTCCTTGCAAATTATTATATTTGGACATCTCATGGTGAGTTAGTGCAATTTCAAGCACCACCATTATTGGAGAACCAAGTTTCCTCATCTCAAGGAGATGAAAGTCATGTTGCCCATATTTCTTCAGCTAGTGGGACTCAACTCGTAACACCCTGGGATCAAAGAATGCTTGGAGATATTTTTGCAGGATATGTGCCGCTGGTGGACACCACAAACTGTGTTCCACAAACCACATGTCATGATTATAATAGTGTTTCTCCAAATGTAAATGACGTGTCTTATTTGCAGACCAATTTCATGATGTTCTACAAGCAGCAGATCAACCTTTATATGAGGGATGTCAAGAAGGCTCGCAATTACAATTTGTCACTGAGGTAATGAGTATTAAATCTGACTTTAATGTGCCTCGGGATGAAGTAAATCGGTGGTTGGAATTATTCGGACGATACTTACCTCGTAACCACACTGCCCCATGGAATTACTATGAGACCAAAAAACTTACTTCCAACTTGGGTCTTCCGGTGATAAATATTGATGCTTGTCGTAACGGGTGTATGTTATTTTGGAAGGGTGATAAAGAGTTAACACATTGTTCATTTTGTGGTGAACATCGATATAAGTTGCAGGAGGAAGAAGAATGCACATCCAAAAGAAGAAATTGGACAACTGTTTCTGTATTGAGGTATCTTCCCTTGACACCAAGACTGCAGAGGTTATATGTGTCACGACAAACAGCTGAAGAGATGAAGTGGCATGCAATGCATTAAGCAACTGGGAGTTTGATGTGACACCCTTGTGATAGTGAGGCATGGAAACACATTGACATGATGTACCCAGACTTTGCCTCGGAGCCTCGAAATGTACGACTTGGTTTATGCTCTGATGGTTTCGCTGCACATGGACAATATGGTGCATCATACTCTTGTTGGCCCGTCATCTTAACGACATACAATCTGCCTCCCGGTATGTGTATGAAATATCCCTACTTGTTTTTTTGCTCATTATTCTGGGCCCAATATGTCCAAAAAAGAAAATTGATGTCTACTTACAACCTCTTGTTGATGAATTACACCATTTGTCGGAAGAGGGTTCGATGACATATGATGTTGCATCAAATACCATGTTCTCAATGCGTGCCATTTTAATGTGGACGATAAGCGACTTTCTCGCATATGGGATGTTGTCCGGTTGGAGTACAACTGGACTCTTGGGGTGCCCTATTTGTATGGAAGGTAACAAAGCAATGTACCTTAAGAATGGACGTAAGCCATGTTACTTTGACTGTCATTAAAAGTTCTTACCACTCAAGCACCCTTATCGAAGGGACATTCATTCTTTTATAAAAGGAAAACAAGAAAGTAGTCCTCCTCCCCTCAGGGAAGTAGTTAAAGTAAATAATTGGGAGGCTGAGAATGTAATTGGATGGAGTAATTGATTAATACTTGTCTTAATTACTATGAGTGTGTTTATTATTATAAGAATTATTATAAAAACGGTGCATACAACATTCAAACTCAAATTAGTTATGTGTACTTGATTATGGTGGTGTATGGAATAGTTAATATGGCGAGGAAAAGGTCGAGTATGGAAAAAGGAAGCGGTGTAGGGAATTTTTCCACATACCGTGACGGCGGTGCTCCTTTAATCGAGGATGATACGTCGAGCGAGGAGGAAGAAGACACCATGGAAGGAAGTGAAGGAACACCTCAAAATGAATCCGAAGGCTCTCACTACTTTTCCGGGTCAATGGAAACAAACTGCATGCCACTAACAATTCGTGATTTGGAAAGGTAAGTAACATACATATGTTTAAATAACGTCAATAACATTATAAATGTAAGTATAATATATATGTTTGATAAATATGTGTAGGCGAGAAAAGCTTGAGTTGATTCAAGAAATTGTCCAAGGTTCATTTAGGGGCTCTTGGATCAGTTTAAATAAAGTTCCAAAAAAAACATTAAAGAGTCATGGTTTCAAGACTTTTTGGTAATATATTACATTTAAATTTACAAATTTTAATGCATTTGAATATTTTAGAGTATAATTTTCTTTGATTTGTAGCGCCGACACACATATCGTCCTTGTGAAGTAAAAACTATCACAAGGAAAAAGTTCGATAAGAAAATATCTTCATGGTTGAAGAACTGTTTTCATCTTGCCCGGTGTGATAATAATACAAGCCCGCCTTGGATTTCACCAAAAGATTGGGCTGGAATGCTCGTGAAGTGGGATTCAGCAGAATTTAAGCAACTGTGAGAAACAAATAAGTTGAATGCAAACACTGAAGCTTGTAGGAGCGCTCCTTATTGCGGTGGATCAATTTCAGAAGTCGTTAGAGCAGAACGGCTTGTAAGATTTTACTAAAAATTAATATGTGTATTTAACTTTTTAATCAATTTTAATCTTGAGACTGTATATTGTATTTTGAACTTGAAAGGAGGAAAAATTGGGGAGGACCCCCGATGCGGAAGAGGTATTGCATGATGCATATACAAACAAGAAAACTAGACAATTGAGTGGTCCAAGAGTTCAAGCGATAGCGGTACGTGTTCATTAAATATTGTTGTGCATTAAAAGTTTAATTGTATACATCATACTGTTAATATAAACTTCGTTTGGTATTATATAAACTTCATTTGGTATTAATATATACTGTTAATATAAACTTCATTGGTTAATATATACTGTTAATTATATAAACTTCATTTGGTATTAATTTAAAATATAATCATCAGGACAAGCTTAACTTGCGAAACAGCAAATTTTGGAAACCCAAGGGGAGAACGCAAAAGTGGACAAAACGGCACTCTACATAAAAACCGTTAAACCCAACCGAGGAAGAATTAAGGGCGTGGGGGCTCTTGGCCCAGAATATTTGCGTACCGGGTCTTTCAAGGCAAAATCATGTGCCCCCACAGAAAGTGACCCCGATAAAGAATCTATTAAGGAGGAGTTGAAGGCCTTGAGAAAAGAAGTGAAGGAATTTAGAGAGCAAGGTCCATGCAAGCATATATGGGGGGTCCATGGATGAATCCATTTCTCTATCATGGGTATGGCCAATCTACTTCCGGTAGTCAACCACAAATGCCTCCAATGAATCATTATCCTCCCCAAAATAATTATAATTTTCCCCAACAAGGTTCATCGGCTCCTCAACAAAATACATTCAATTTCTCCCATCAAGTTCCTCCAATGATCCCTATCTCTTTTGGAGGTATCCCACAAGCATCTTCTTCTCAACCTCCTCCCTACTACCCGACAATGTTTCCGGGTTTTAATGGGCAAGGTCAATCATCCATGCAACCTACAACACAACCAATGCAATCCATGCCTATTTCAACTCCAAACAACAATACTCAAGATGAGAATGCCTCTTTTATCGACAATTTACTTGGGAGTGGAGGCAACA